TGGAATGGGTCTGGGCATATTTGATGCCTGTCTCATCACAGAGGAACTGGCCTTTGGCTGCACTGGAGTACAGACAGCCATTGAGGCAAACTCTCTGGGAGTAAGTGAACAGTTTTATGAACAGATTTTCAAGTAGGCTTCATTTAATATTTAAATTAAATGGTCATTTGTGCATAGGACTTATGCCAGAACTCATTGTTATAAGTTACATTTTAATGTGGTTTTTCCATGCAGCAAATGCCTGTCATTATTGCTGGTAATGATGCCCAGAAGAAGAAATATTTGGGCAGAATGGCAGAAGAACCACTAATGTGTGTAAGTGTGTCATTGTTTTCTAATCATCCATATTTTTATGATTTATATAGCATTCCCATAGCAATACATGAGCACACGCTTTTGCTTATCAATGTGTTACTTTGTCGACAGGCGTACTGTGTGACCGAGCCGGGAGCAGGCTCTGATGTGGCTGGGATAAAGACCCGGGCTGTTAAGAAAGGAGACGAGTATGTGGTCAATGGTCAGAAAATGTGGATCACCAATGGAGGAAAAGCAAACTGGTAGGTAAACTACTTCAGTAATTCATAACTGTGGATTCATTATAAACCCTTCTGTTTGCATTTATAGGTACTTCCTGCTGGCCTGCACAGATCCCGATCCCAAATGCCCTGCTAGCAAGGCTTTCACAGGCTTTGTTGTTGAAGCTGACACCCCAGGAGTCCAGCCAGGCAGAAAGGTACAAGCTGCTGACAACTGCAGTCTGATGCATTCAGACAATACTTATACACTATATTAATAATACTATGAGATTCTGCACTATTTGCTTATGTCTACATTCTTCTGTTCACCAGGAGTTGAACATGGGCCAGAGATGCTCAGACACCAGGGGCATCACGTTTGAGGATGTAAGAATCCCGAAGGAGAATGTATTGATTGGAGAAGGAGCTGGCTTCAAGATTGCCATGGGTGCATTTGACAAGACCAGACCACCAGTAAGTGTTCTTTTGCAGTTATTATTGCTAACAAATTGCAGTTGTCTAACTGTGTCATGTCAACCATCTCTTGATGTTTTTCAGGTGGCTGCAGGTGCCACAGGACTTGCACAGAGAGCACTGGAAGAGGCCACGAAGTATGCTTTGGAGAGAAAGACTTTTGGCAAGTTTATTGCTGAGGTAGGTGTCTGTTTCAGTAGACATGTTTGACAACCCAAACTGATACCATGAAGTTAGTAAGACAGTAAATTCTAAAATAAATCTACTCACGTAATTAATGAATAAGCTGCGTTTGTTTTCTGACCCCCAGCACCAGGCAGTGTCATTCCTTCTGGCTGAAATGGCCATGAAAGTGGAGCTTGCCAGGATGGCCTATCAGAGAGCAGCCTGGGAAGTGGATCAGGGCCGCAGGAACACCTACTATGCCTCGATTGCCAAGGCCTTTGCTGGAGACATTGCAAACCAGTGTGCCACTGATGCTGTCCAGATCTTTGGTGGGAATGGTTTCAATAGTGAATATCCTGTGGAGAAGCTGATGAGAGACGCTAAGATTTACCAGGTAAGGATTGTAGACCCAACCTTGTTTATTTGAATTGGTAAAGATGCTAAAATGTGTCTAATGTCTTATTGTCTGCATCCACAGATTTATGAAGGGACAGCACAAATCCAAAGGCTCATCATCTCAAGAGAACACCTTGGGAAATTCAAACAGTGAACCTGTAAACCCAGGACTTCCATGCCATAAGCCAATTGTTTGAGCGTATTTTGTACATGTTGATGTTTTTGATCAATAGATCTCAGGATTGTATCTCACAGACTGTAAATTGCCTACACAGAGCTCCAGTTGCCTTATGTCATATCAGCATGCCTTGCCGCCTTTGTGTTGAACAACTAAGTTGATCAAATGTTAAGCTGAAGAGTAACATAGTTGCACAGCACTTTGTCATATTCTTTTTGTAACTGATGTCCTCAAAATAAAAATAAATAATCTGTTTTGAAAACATCTGTCATTTTCTTGCCCAAATATCTATACCACACTTTCAAAATGGTATTAATGAATTTTAATTACCCTACAAATGAATTTTAATTACCCTACAAAATGTAGTATTTAGCTTTGTCCTACATTTTGAGTGCAACCCTGTGACTTCATGATTTCCCCCAATACAAAAAAAATCTAAGTAACTTCATTTGGACCTACACAATGTTGGGTAGACAAGTACTTGTATCATTGTAATCACTTTCTATTTTTTCACAAATTGTAATGTTAACTGCATTTGTCAAGCTCAACCAACTACACAGTTACTGAAAAATAATACACAAACAAATATTTAATTTATGGTAAATATGTTTATTAGTAACTGAACCAATGTTTGGTCCCAAACTACAGTAATTAGTTTATACTGAGTGATGGATTAAATTTGGCTAAAAATAATTTTGTATAATATTTATGCAAATTCTTTTATATTTAATGTTTATATATTGGAAAAAAAATTACGCAAATCAAGATTTTAAATTCTATTTAAAATGTAAATATCCCAAATCTCTCTAATAGGGGTGCAGAAAACAAATAAAAACTAGTTTAGCTAATTAACTAATTATTTAGCATATATGTCCATCCAAAATATATAACATCCTTCATCAGAGCAAAAAAAAAAACTTCATCAGATGAAGAAAGTAAGTCATATACATCTTGAATGGCCTGAGGGTAACTGCAAATTTCATTTCATTAGTTGCCCGCAGTTGGAATCAGCTTCCAGAAGAGATCAGATGTGCTAAAACATTAGCCACATTTAAATCCAGACTCAAAACTCATATGTTTAGCTGTGAATGAGCTATTTAGTGAATGAGCACTGTGCTACATCCGAACTGATTGCACTGTATTTTATGTATAATCTTTTTCTATTCTTAACCGTTTTAATTCATTTTAAATCAATTTTAGTTTATTTTCAACGTTTTCTTAATGATTATTTTAATTCCTTTTATGTAAAGCACTTTGAATTACCATTGTGTATAAAATGTGCTATATAAATAAACTTGCCTTGCCTTGACTGAACTGAAACCTGGCAAAATCGATAAGTTGCTGATTCTAAGTTCCTCCACATCTGAAAAACTTTCTTAAAATATTGAACTAAATACAAAAACAACAAAAGTCATACACATCTGGGATAAAATGTAAGAGAGTAAATGATGAGAGAATTTTATTTTTTGGGTGGAATAATTTTTTTAAGTCACCATATATGCTAATGACGCAATTTCATGTGCTTCAGTCATTTATTTGCATTAAATTATTATAAGGAGTTAAGGATTTTGAATTTAATCACATGTACGTTTACGGGTTAACGTTGACAGCCCTCACAATATATATATATATATATATATATATAGTATCAATTCAAAATACAGGTTTTACAACAGAGAACAGAGAAGCTTTTAAAATATTACTCATCTGTGCTTTTTTTACATTTCTAATCTGCCGTTCAGGTTTATTTGACCTCAGTAGACTGGCTGCATCTCCTCTAGCAACACTGAGGTAGTTTCCATCCCTACTGTAATGAATGTCAAAACATATGCATAATCAATTCAAGGAAGGCTACAGGGTGTCCAAAGGAGAGATTTTTTTTCTTCAAATATTACTTACCTGTCCTTTACTATGATTTTTAATCTGGCATTCACCAGTCTTATTTTACCTCAGTTGACAGGCTGTTTCTTCTTGCAACATCCAGGTAGTTGTCATTCCTACTCTTCTGAATGACAAAAGATATGCAGTATCAATTCAAACTACAGGTTGTATAATAGAGAACAGAGGTGTTTTTAAAATATTACTCACCTGAGCTTTTTATCATTTTTAATTTGGCATTCACCAGTTTTATTTGACCTAATTTTCCTCTTGCAACATTGAGGTAGTTGCCATTGTTACTGTAATGAATAACAAATATATATATATATATACAGTATCAAATCAAAGCACAGGTACAACAGAGAACAGAAATGCTTTAAAAGTATCACTTACCTGTGCTTTTCTGTATTTTTTAACCTGGCATTCACCAGAGACTTATTTTACCTACTGTAAAAAAAAAAAAAAAAATGATATGCAGCCTGTAAAATAGAGAACAGGATTCTTTTAAAATATTATTCACCTATTTTTCCTCTTTCAACATCCAGGTAGTTTCCATCTCTACTGAATGGCAAAATATATACAGAATCAATTCAAAGGTTATACATTAGCGAACAGAGAAGCTATTATTGCTATTTTTAGAAGCTATTTTAGCAACCTAAAACTAACTTTACCGCGTTATTATTAGCTATTATTATTATTATTATTATTATTATTATTAT